CACCGGCACCACCCACCCCCTGCCCCGCAGCTCTACCAGCTTCTCACAGGGAAGCTTCCCTTCTGGTCGAACCTGTCGCCCCAGCAAGTGGCTGCCCTGCCCCCTTACGCCCTGCTCGGCGCCGTACGCACCCATGACGTGTCCTACCCCCGCGCCACCTGGAGCGGCGTCACGGCCGAGGGGCAGGCGCTGGTGGCGGCGATGCTGCAGCGAGACCCGGCGCAGCGCATCACCGCGGCCGCCGCGCTGGCGCACCCCTGGTTTCAACGGGTGCTGGGGTACACGCCGGCCGCTACTGGGCTGGAGAAGGAGCGGGCGGAGGCGGTCAGCAACAACGTGGAGTTCTCCGCGCGCGTCGCTGCCATGCACCTGTGACGGCGCCTTGCCGCCTGCGACGGGCGCGCAGCGGGCTTGGAGACGGCGCAGGCCTGGGCCGTGCTCCTGGGCCGGCCCGCGGCGATCAGCGTGCAGTTGGTGCAGGGTGATTCACGCCTGCCCTGGCCGTTTCATGTCGAAACGCCCCCACCTCGCGTGCCCCTTAACTTGAGGGCTGTTTGGCGCGCGTGCCGGCCACGCTGCCACTTCAACCTGCCACTTATGCGGCCGCATTGGTCACAAGACGCAGGTTCAGCCAGGTGTGCACTGCCAGCTGTGCTTTGGCCGCGGCCGTCGGCCATGCAGCGCGCCTGGGTGGGTGGGACGCTGCACAGGTGCAGGCGCCGCCCGCCAGCCCAAAGCGGCCCCACATGCGCTGCGCTGCGCTGTCGCTGGGCGTTCCCGCGGCCTCCGCGGTCCGTCACGGCCTGCCTGTGCCCGGCTCAATCGGTCTGTTTTTGCTTGCTTGTGTCTCTCACAACGCACCACCTTGGATGCATGGGACCAGCGCTGCGCATCTGGGCGTGGCCCGACCTTTCGCAACAGCCCCGCCTGCCCAATCGGGCCAGCTGACGCCCCTTCGCCTGCAGGCGCCCCCCCCCCCCCCCCGCGCATTCTGCTGCGCACCCCTCTCGCG